TTTCTTCTATGTCTTTTTTCTTTTGCTGACTTAATTTTGTCCTTTATATTCTGTCTTCATTTCTTTCTTTTTTCTCTCTTCCTTTTTTTATTTTTTACTTCCCCATTTCCCTTTTTCTAAGTTTCTCTCTTTTCAATTTTTCTTTCCTTTCTTCTTTCTTTTCATTTTTCTGTCCACCTGTCTTTGTCTTTCTTGATTTTTGCTGTGTATTTCAGCAAATATATATGTATTTATTTCTTTTTTCTTCCTTTGTTTCATTTCTTCTTTTGTTTATTTATGTTTTGTTGTCCCACTTCCCTTTCTTCCTTTCTTTCTGTCATTTATTTTTCTCTTTGCTGTTGCACTAGACTGTTCATGAAAGCTGCTCTACTATTGCATCTGTGTGCATTGATATACTAATCCATCCACGTGCACCACTTTCCTACCACCTTTGTATTTGCAGTATACTACATCCATGCACACTTGTCTAGAAGCATCTTTGTGGACTTCTGTACTACTACATCCTTGTACACCACTCTTCTAGTATAATATGTGCATCTGCTGTGTTGTAAGAGTGTATGCATAGATGCTGTGTTACTTGAACAATCATGTGCAGTACCATCTCAACCATGGGCAGTGCTATATTAGTACATGTGTATTCTCTTGTACTGATGTAGAAGTGCTGTACTTGTCATGACCTATATGCATCTGTGTTACACAGATGAATAGCTATAGCTTATGGCTAAAGCTCATGATCAGTCAGCATCTGTATTACTTTCTGCCTATTGTTCCTGATGTATTAGCATCTTTGTGTACACTGAAACTCATGATCTAAAGCACCTGTGTTATAATCTGCCTATAATTTAGCTCCACTTGTTAAAGGATCTGTTAAACTCTTCCCACATCTTCATATATATGCATATACATATATATATTCACTTTCACACTGTGATTGTAACATAAGGGGCCAGCTTGTTGGGGTTTCTGTCCCGCCCGGTACCTCACAGCCGGCAACTCCCAAGGAAAATCACACGGAGTTTACATTAGGTTATAAACTGATTGACCCATTAGGTCAGGCTTCTTGTTAACTCTTATAGCTTATATTAACCCATTATTCTTACCTACATTAGCCATAATGGCTCCATACCTTTCTCAGTGTGACAGCTTACATGTTGCTGCTTCTTCGGTGGTCTGCGCTGGAGTGGCTGAGGAGCCTCTCTGCTTCCCAGAATTCTCCTGTTCTCATTGCATCACTTCTACTTCCTGTCTGGTTTTCCCACCTATACTGCCTGCCTGGCCAATCAGCGTTTTATTAAAATATGATTGACAGAATACAGACAACTCTCCCGCATCATGTGATCACACACAATTTAGTGTATATACATGGCATGTTATAGCTTAGCTTGTTCTTTGTCCTTATTTACTTACTGAGCAATAATTAAGACTTTAAATGACTTGGAGACTGATCCTCATTGGTACCCAAACTCCATAATCATTCAAAAATTCTTCTCCTACCTTCCCTCTGATCATTCTCCTACTTTATCTCCTTGACTGCATTAGTCTTTCTACAATCCCTCCTCAATTCCCAAGTTCAGAAAAGATAGGAAAATCTTTTTAAGTTTGTAGAGGTTTGAATGAGAACATCTCCATAGGTTCATATAATTGAATGTCTGTCCCCAGTTAGTAGAACTGTTTGGGAAGGCTAGAGGTGTGACCTTGTTGGTGTGGACTTGTGAGAGGTGTGTCACCAGGGGTAGTCTTAGAGAGTTCAAAAGCACACAGCAGTGCAGTCACGCTCTCTCTGTCTGTAGATTGAGATTTAAGCTCTCAGCTACTGCTCAAGAACATGCTTACCTGCCTGCCTTCATGCTTCCTGCCATGATGATCATAAACTAGCCCTCTGAAACTGTAAGCAAGCCCTGAGTTAAATGTTTTCTTCTAAGTCTGACATGGTCATGATGTCTCTTTCACAACAATAGAACAGTAACAAAGACAGAATTTGATACCAGAGACTGGTATCATAAGGGATATCAGTAAATGGTTAATATTCCATAAATTGCAAAACACCTTAAAGCATTCAGTAGTATAAGCAGGGCAATTATCAGTTTTCAGTGTAATAGATGTTCCGGAAAGAAGAAGGTGAATAATAGGTTATTAATGGCATCCAAGGTTGTTTCATCCCTGTGAACAGAAGCAATAATCATATTTTTAAGAAGATGTACCAATCATTACAAGAACATATTCTAAACATGCAAATCCTGAGATATGTTTAATATCTGTTTGCCAAATGGCATTAGATTTTAACCCTCAAGGATGCATTACGCCAGCAGAGGGCAGTGGTGTGAAGGAAGAACAAGATGAACTTCATGAGATTTCTTCTTTAGCTGTCTGAAACGAAAGTACTGGGGCAAGAGGAGGCTGCTGCGTCGGCTTAAGCATTAGTGGATGCTAACAGATTAAACAAGCACCAATATGAGATGCTGGCAGATTAAATGAGCACAAATACAAGCTATGAAAGAAAATTGAGTTTGTTGTCATATAGATATCCGAAGGAAGAGAAATAATTGTGAAATAAGATTAGTAGTGGGTTTAGGCTCAAGTCTTGCAATTTCTAAAAGAAATAGTATGAACACAATATGCAGAGTTGGTTACACTATTCAATGGCTGAGAGATATCTAATAACAGCTGATTGATTTCAGTCAGTCTGGACTGCTGAGCTGTACAACCAAGCGTGGTTAATCTGTTTGTGGAGACTATGAAATCTATAAAATAGGTTCCTTGTCCTTTTGAAGAGCCATCTGCAAAAACATTAAAAGTGTTCTCTATAGGATTTTTTAAAGTAATTTTAGATAATACTCAGGGGTATCTTCAAAAATTCTTAAAAGGGGTTCTTTAGAAAAGTTGATCATCTATACATCCCAAGTAGCATGATACTACTACCTGCTGAGTATTACCAGTGTGGGACAAATAACCAACTTGCATTTAGTGGCATAATGATTTCCGCTGGTTCTTTGCCAGTAAATTGTTTACGAAGTGTCCTTCCCGTCATTATCAAGTTTATACATTCTTGTAAATAAGGAGTTGCAGAAAAAGGGAACACTTCTGCATTGCTGGTGGGAATGTAAGCTGGTACAACCCCTTTGGATGTCAGTGTGGCGATTTCTCAGAAAATTAGGAAACAACCTTCCTCAAGACCCAGTAATACCACTTTTGGTATTATCCAAAGGATAATTTTGATATATCCAAAGGATGCTCAATCGTGCCACAAGGACATGTGTTCAACTATGTTCACAGCAGCTTTGCCATAGCCAGAACCTGGAAACAACCTAAATGCCCCTCGACTGAAGAATGGATAAGGAAAATATGGTACATTTACACAATGGAGTACTACACAACAGAAAAAAATAATGACAGCTTGAATTTTGCAGGAAAATGGATGGAACTAGAAAACATTATTTTGAGTGAGGTGGCCCAGATACAGAAAGACAATTATCACATGTACCCACTCATAGGTGGTTTTTAAACATAAAACAAAGAAAGCCAGCCTACAAACCACAATCCCAGAGAACTTAGACAACAATGCGGACACTAAGAGAGACTTACATAGATCTAATCTACATGGGAAGTAGAAAGTAGAAAAAGACAAGATCTCCTGAGTAAATTGGGAGCATGGGGACCTTGGGGGAGGGTGGAAGGGGGAAGGGGGAGAGGCAGGGAGGGGAGCAGAGAAAAACGTAGATCTCAATAAATATCAATAAAAAAGAAATAAGCCACACAAGATGGAAAATTAAAAAATAAGGAGTTACAGATTATTGGAGAATTATGACATTTATAAATAAGTCCTGTGTTCAAGGAGATAAACAGAGTAAAGAAAATCCTGCTGTTAAATCGAATAAAGGGAGTGGTGACCTCTGGGCAAGATCCCACCCAGCTAAGCTTCCATCTTGTGGGAGGAATTAAAGAAAATCTTAGAGTCGGGGTGTGGTGGTCAGAAAGCAGAAGCTGGCGAATCTCTGAGTTCAAGGTTGGCAGAGCAGCCAAGCTTGGGCAGTGAAGGAAACCATTGAAAACAGAAAGTTACTGAAGATATAGTTGAACGAGAGGACCATGTTCTAGCCCCAACAAGCAGCAGAACTTGGCAACTTCAGTTATGTGGTTCTGGCTTTAGAGTCAAGGAGAGAAATGGATTATGAAATCTGTCTCTGTGTATAGGAAAGCTGCTGACGGCAGGCAAGAGTCAGGAGTGTCCTTGAATGGATGTCTAGAGAGGCCTAGTGTGAAGCTGTGAAGGTGAAGTCTTCGTTGCTTTGGAGAACCCAAAATGTTGTAGATGCCAGAACTGTGGGATACCAGCCAAGTAAAGCTACTAACAGGGAGTGGAACCAGCTCAAGAGAAAGAAGTGTGCTGCAGTCAACAAAGCTGAAAGAAGTTGGAGATCTGAAGAGCAGTTTGATAGCAGACATGGAGATGCAAAGTCTGGAGTTTGTCCAGCTCGTTTTTGGTCTTGCTTTGGTCCAGTATTTCTTTTTTGGAATGGTAATGCATATCTTGTGCCACTGCATGTTGGATGCATGTAATCTGCTTTTTCATTTGATTTTATAGGAGATTACATGCAAGAGAGTGCATGAATCTCAGAAGAGACTTTGAACTTTTAAGCAAGTTTGAGACTATTCTAGATATGGGGAATTTTGAAGTTGGACTAAACACATTTCTGCATTATGTTATGGCTACAAGCTTGTGGGGGCCAGGGAGTGAATGTAGTACTTTGAATAGGAATGGCCACCATAGACATATGTGTTTGAATACTTGGTCCATGGGAGTGGCACTATTAGGGGATATGACCTTGTTGGAGTAGGTATGATTTTGGGTTTTTTTTTTTCTGTTTCAAAAGGCTTTATTTTTACTTGGTTCAAGACTTGAGAGGGGCTCCAGGGCATTACAAAGCTGTCTAGTGGCTTTTTGAGAGGTTCGGGTGAAGGTCCTGAGGCTGACTGGTGCAGAGCAGAGGTGGAAGCCACTAGGAAGGAAAGGCCTCCTAGTCATGCTTGAGAGTGAGCCGTTCAAAGAGGTACTCGCCCAGAGATGCCTGGGGCCCAGCAGCCAACCTGTGGAGGTTGGTCAGGTGGTTGCCCATTTTCTTGATGACCTTCACCTCCTCATTCAGGATATGGTTTTCAAGGAGGTCACAGAGATGAGGATCAGTGCGAGCAGAGCCCAGGGAATGAAGATCCAGGAGGGCCTGGTTCAAGTTCTTCTCCAAGGCCAGGGCAGCTTCCATGACCTCCTGGGTTTTACCCCACTCATCTTGAGAAGGCTTCTGCACATCCTGAAAGAGTGCACGGCCTCCGCGATCGCTCTGCAACTTGAGGAGACGCTCAGCGCCCTCGCGCTTCTCCTCGGCCAATTCGCGGAAGAAGTGGCCTACACCCTCCAGAGCCACGTCATCCCGATCAAAATAGTAGCCCAGCGAGAGGTAGGTGTAGGAGGCCCGCAGGTGCAGGTTGACCAGGTGGTTCACGGCAGCCTCCACTTCGGTGGAATAATTCTAACGAACCTGGGAGGTCATGGCTGAGACGCTGTCTGGAGCTACCCGCAAAGAGACGGTGCTGGGAGCTGAAGGCGGCGAGGAGATGGTCCCGGAGGCTGCGACCGCAGATGAAGAGCAGTGGAAGCTAACAAAGGGAGGCCCTGGGTCTGTTCCGTCCAAACACTGTTGAAGCAAGACACAGATCCACGGGATCTCCGAGAGCTGCTCTAGGTATGATTTTGTTGAAGGTTGTGTGTCACTAGGGTGTGGACTTTGAGGTCTCAGAAGCTCAAACTGGTTCAGTTTCTGCTGCCTACAAATCCAGATATAGATTCCTTTTCTTTTCTTTTCTTTTCTTTCTTTGGTTTTTCGAGACAGGGTTTCTCTGTAGCTTTGGAGCCTGTCCTGGAGGTCCTTGTAGACCAGGTTGGCCTCGAACTCACAGAGATCCTCCTGCCTCTGCCTCCCGAGTGCTGTGATTAAAAGCATGCGCCACCACCGCCCAGCTTTAGATATAGATTTCTTAGCTACTTCTCAGGCAGCATGTCTGCCTGTATGCTGCCATACTTTCTGCCATGATAACAATGAACTAAACCTCTGAACTGTAAGCCAGCCAAATTAAATTATTTTTTTTTAATAAGAGTTGCTCTGGTCATGGTGTCTCTTCACAGCAAGTAATAAAACCCTAAGACATCAACCAAAGCGGCAACAGCAGGTCTCCAAGATATTTTGGATTAGGGTAAATTTTTGTATTAAATATTTAACCCCATTTATAAAAAATGGTAAAAGAAACTGCTATAATTCAACACAACTAATGCAAAAAATGACCTTAAAATTACTTTATGAAGATGATAAAAGTACTTAAAGAGGATATATGAACAAATCCCTTAAAGAAATTGGGGGAAAGACAAGGAAAAAAATTGAAAGAAATCAATATATCCCTAAAAGAAAGCCAAGAAAACCAATGAACAGATAAAGGAAACTGTTCAAGACCTGAAAAGTGAAATAGAAGCAATAATGAAAACACAAATGGAGGAAATCCTGGAAGTAGAAATCTGGGCAGGCAAACAGATACAGACACAAGCATCACCAACAGAATATAAGACATGCAAAAAAGAATCTCAAGCATTAAAGGCATGAGAGAGGAAACAGATTTGTCAGACAAAGAAAACGTTAAATCTAAAAAAATTATAATACAAAATACCCAGGAAATCTGAAACTATGTAAAGACCAAATATAAGAATAATAGGAATAAAAAAAGGAGAAGAAACCCAGTTAAAATACCCAGGAAATTTATTTAACAAAATCATAGAAGAAAATTTTCCCAACCTAAAGAAGGACATGCCTATTCAATTCAAAAAGATTACAGAACACCAAATAGATTGGATTAGAAAAAGAAAATCCCCTCACCACGTATTAATCAAAACACTAAATATACATAACAAAGAAAGAATATTAAAAGCATCAAGGAGAAAAGGCCAAGTAACATATAAAGGCAGACCTATTAGAATAACACCCAACTTCTCAACCAAGACCCTAAAATCCAGGAGGGCCTAGTGTCTTGTAGATTCTAAGAGACAATGGGCATCATCCCAGACTACTATACTCAGCAAAACTGTCAGTCACCATAGATGGAGAAAATAAAATATTTCATGACAAAGTCAAATTTATACAAAATCTTTTTACAAACTCAAAGGTATAGAAGGAAAACTACAACCCCAGGAAGTTAGCTACAACCACCAAAACACAGGCAATAGATAACTCACACCAGCAAAACCCAAAGAAAGGAAACACACACCACCACCACCACCAACAACAACAACAACAATATAACAGGAATTAACAATCACTGGTCATTGATATCCCTCAATATCAATAGACTCAATTCACCAATTATAAGACATAGACTAGTGGATTGAATACAAACACAGGATCCAACATTCTTCTGCATACAAGAAACACACCTCAATATAAAAGATAAATATTACTTCAGAATAAATAATTGACATAGTAAAAAATGGCCATCTTAACAAAAGCAAGCTACAGATTCAATCAATCTCCATTAAAATTCTAAAATAATTCTTTACAGACCTTGAAAGAATAATACACAACTTCATACTGGAACACAAAAAAGTCCAAGATAGCTAAAGCAACACCATACAACAAAAGAACTTCCAGAGGTATCACATCCCTGATGTCAAGCTCTACTATAAAGCTATAGTAATAATAATAATAAAAACCCTCATAGTATTGGTATAAAACCAGGTGGATCAATGGAATTGAATCAAAGACCCAGATGTAAACCCACACACCTACGGATACCTGATTTTCAACAAGGAAACCAAAATTACACAATGGATAAAAGAGAGCATATTCAATGAATAGTGCTGGTCTAACTGGATACTGGCATGTAGAAGAATGCAAATCTATCCGTAAGTACAAAACGCAAGTCCAAATGGATCAAAGGCCTCAACATAAATCCAGATACACTGAACCTGATAGAAGAGAAAGTGGGAAATAATCTCAAATGCATTAGCACAGGAGACAACTTCCTCATCAGAATACCAGCTCCTAAGACTGACAATAAAAGGAACCTTGTGAAATTGAAGTTTCTGTAAGGCAAAGGACATCATCGACAGGACAATTGGCAGTCTACAGAATGGGAAAAGATCTTCACCAACCCCACCTCTGACAAAGGGCTGATCTCCAAAATATATAAAGAATTCAAGAAACTAAATATCAAGCAACAAAATAATCCAATTAAAAATGGGGTACAGATCTAAACAGAGAACTCTCAGCAGAAGAACGGCCGAGAAACACTTGAGGAGAGGGTCAGCATCCTTAGCCATCAGGGAAATGCAAATCCAAACGACTCTGAGATTCCAACTTACACCTGTCAGAATGACTAAGATCAAAAACACAAGTGATCCTCTCGTGCTGGAGAAGATGCGGAGCCAGGGGAACACTCCTTAATGCTGGTGGGAGTGCAAACTTCTACAGCCACTTTGGAAGTCAGTGAGGCAGTTTCTCAGAAAACTGGGAATCAACTTAGATAGTACACAGCTATACCTCTGCATACCCAAAAGAATGCTCAGTCATCATACCACAAGGAGACTTGCTCAATTATGTTTATAGCAGCTTTATTTGTAATAGCCAGAACCCAGAAACAACCAAGACGTCCCTTGACCGAGGAATGGATAAAGAAAATGTAGTACATTTGCACAATGGAGTATTACTCAACTATTAGAAACAAGGGCACCAGGAAATTTGCAGGCAAATGGATGGAACTGGAAAAGGTCATCCTGGGTGAGGTAACTCAGATCCAGAAAGACAAACATGGTGTACGCTCACTCATAAGTGGATATTAGCTGTAGAGTAAAGGATAACTATATTATAAACCGCAGCCCCAGAGAGGCTAGCTAACAAGGAGGGTTCTTGGGGTGGGGGACACCCAGATCTCCCTGGAAAGGGAAAATAGAAGGGATTTCATGAGTAGACTGAGGATGAGTGGGTATGGGAATACAAGTGATCAGGCTGGGGACACAGAAGGGGAGAGAGCTGAGGGGGACTGGTGGGGGTGTGATTTTAGGGTTGGGTGGAGGTCTGGTGCAGAAGACTCTCTCAGGAGTCTATGGGGAGGACCCCAGCTTAGACTCCTAAAAAATAGCAGATAAACAGCCTGTGCTGGCCATCTCCTGTGACCAGATTGGTGCCTGGCCTACTTGTCATCAGAGAGATGTCATTCAACAACTGATGGAGGCCGATGCAGAGACCCACAGTCAAACATTAGGCAGAGTTCAGGAATACTAAGGAGAAGGTGAAAGGAGAGTAGGAGCCAGAAGGATCAGGGCACCACATGGAGTCTCACACAGTCACCTGGGCTCATAGGGGCCTGCAGAGACTGAAGCGACGACCAGAGAACCTGCCTGGGACTGACCTATGTACTCTACATATATGTTCCAGTTTGAAGCTTGGTTTTCCTATGAGACTCCTAATAGCAGGAACAGACGCTGTCTCTGACTCTTTTACTGACTTTTGGGACCCTACTCATACTGAGTCACCTTGTCCCTCCTTAACACAAGGAGAGGTGCTTAGTCTTACTTTATCTTGATATGCCATGTCTTATTAATACTCATGGGAGACCTGCCCATTCCTGGATGGAGACAGAAGAGGAGCTGATTGACAGGGCAGGGGAGGGATGGGAAGTAGGGAATGGGAGGGGAAGAAGGGGGGAAACTTCAGCCAGGTTGTAAAATAGATGAATAAAAAAGACAACTAGTTAAGTTAGCATTGATATAGGAGAAACTGGTACCCATGACCTCAGCTGGTAGGCTTGAAATAGCGAGGGAACAGAGGAAGAAATTCCATGCGCAACTCTGACTCTATATGTCTTGCCACACAAATCATAACTGTGGATGTCAAGCACTGCTGTCTGGATTATGATTTACCCTCTCCTTAGTTCCCAAATACAAGACATTGTCTGACCCCATTTTATCCCACTCAGAGTACAGTGTGGGACTAAGATCAAATGGATCTCTGGCTTTCCATGCTGGTTGGAATCTCAGACCTTAGGAAGTCAACTTGTTGGAATAGCTAATCCTAATTTAAAATCTTAGTAGCCTTGTGTGGCACTTTTACCCAGTTAGAGAAGCAGCTGCTGGACGGCATCATCTAAGGAAGTCAGACTTAACCACGCCACGAGACTGCCTTTGCCCCTTCCACAAGACCATGGAAGACCATTTCTGAGGGAAATGGGTCTTGAGGAAAGAAAGGATTATTCTGTGCAAGAGAGTAAAGATAGGAACCTTAGAGGCCTCCAATTGTTCAATCTCTTCCCCTTCTGGGGGAAGGCAGAATGATATTAAGTAGGCTGTAAAAGTCTATTTACTACAGACAGAAAAGTTAGTTCTGCTGATTGGGGTAAATGTTGTGCCTACATTATGAGGATCCCCAAAAGACCACCACAGAGAGGAGATTTCCAGGGTTCAGGACCCTGATTGGC